GCAACTTCACAAGGGTTGCGATAACAAACATCAAATTGTTGATTCATCCATGAAGGCACATCCGGTATATCAAGTTTCTCTCTGGAATACTGAATTTTGAAGGACTGCCAGTTGACACCACCAATTGGAATATTATTGATGGTCTTGTAGAGGTCCTTATGATCCACAAAAGGCAGCATATCGCCATGTTTGAGGAGTGACGTAGCCCAGAGATCAAGAAGAGTGTTTATATTGGGCACGGACATTTGTGCATGGCTGTACAGGAATTCAGCTGTCTCAAATTCAGTACGGTTCTGGAAGGGTGACCAGTCATCAGGTAACTGTTCTGTGAGAGGCAGTGGTGGAGTAGTGTTAGATGAGCTATAAGAATAAGGCATGCTCACCATTCAAACCAGTGTGATAGTTGTGGTACAAGTTCTTGTCCATGCCATAGAATTTGGTGTCTACTTCAGGAGCTGGTGGTACAGATAAATGGCAGGCATCTTCAGAAGGTGCTGTCAGATAAAACACACTGACATTGAGACTGAGACTCACCACCAATATCACCATCAACTTGCCCTGGTGGTGGTGGAGATGACAGGTGCAGTGTATCTTTAATAAGTAGTGTTAGAGCTGTTGTGGGTCGGGTATCACTGATGGGACTCACCAGCATTCGTGCCATAATCTTCTTCTTGTGCTGGCAGCACCAGAGATGAGCGATTTGAACCGTGATCTTGAGAAATCAGGGTCAGAATAAAGACATTAATCACTGAGTGAAACAGATGCTGGACTCTCCATCAATGTCTATGTCTTGTGACCCAGCTCCCTTTGTAGTATTTGCACTGCTCAGAATTGGGTGCATTGCAGTGTGGTGCCTTGTGTGTCCACTGAGGGATTTGAAGTACTTATTACATCCAGGACAGCCACAAGGAAATTGATATAAAATATGTTTCCTTCGAGTGTACTGAGTAGAGCATGGTGGCATGCTAGAGTGCAGAATGAAGAAAGAACATTAGTGGAGGACTGAATGCAAACCTTGCTCTTACAGTAACTTAATTAGGACTAGAGGTAGGGTAGTATCATCAAAAATTGAGCCGCTGCCTACAGAAGTTCGAGAATGTAAGAGAAATGTCAGCAAATGTGCGTTAATCCACGGGACCAGTACCTTGCAATTTTTTGTGCCCCAGTTATTTGCTCTACCTCGTCTATTCCTCTCATCAACTCCAATAGTCAACCATGGCGCCTAAAGCCTCACAAGAAGTGTCCACTCGTCGAACTCGTCCAGCAAATGCAAATACTCATCCTGGCAGGCCTGTTTTAGAGCTGAAGCTGAGGAGTGACTCCAGAATGCAAAGAGAAAACCACGTACCAAGAGCTCGAAGGTCACTGATGACCCACATGTGAATGAAAGCCCTGAAGAGAAGAGCACACAGATTCAGAAAGCTGCTGAACGAATTGCTGTTATTGAGGATACTATGGAGGCTCTTGAAGCCTAAGTGCAGGGAGGAATCAAGGCAAAGCCTGTTCATCCTCGTCCTGTAGGCAAAGGCAAGAAAACATCTAGCCCAGATATTACTAATGGTATGATGAACATTACATTGAGAATAGAAACTGATATTGACACTCACCAGATAAAACCACTTCTGTTGATCCAGAGGATACTCTACTGAGCGATGGAGAAAGTGAAGTTGTTGATGGGAAGAAAAAGAAAGAGAAGGTGCCAAAAACATTGCTGAAGGAAGCCATCAAGAATGCCTGCAAGACTGATCACTTTGATTCTGATGCACATGCCTTGAGTGATAAGAAAGGCAACAACATGCCTTTGTCGTGAGTCCATATTATTTATCAAAACAATGTTTTCACTCAGTGAATCAACACTTCTTTGTATAAATCAGGCGGTTTCAAGTACAACTAAAAAACTCTCTCTTGGTGGTCTTATCAACAGCTGGGCTAACGATGTACCAGCTGAACTGAAGTCCACTATATTAAGTTCCAGATTAAATACCTTTTCTGCTTCTCATGCTGCAACCACTCCACCCTCATTGGTATTATCTACTAGTACCAAGACCAGTTCCAGGGCCAAACCTGCGCACATCAATCAAAAGCAGTCAATTAGCACAACTGAGTCCAATGATGTCCTCATGGTCAGCGACAATAGTCTTGATGACCCTGAGGCTCTTGAACATCTTCCAGCTGTACTGTCTAGGAAGAAAGGGAAACAGCTGATTAAAGTAAGTCATTCTTCCCATCAGTTCAAGGACTCATTTAAATTTCAGAAGTCTACTCTAATTGTTCCCACCAGTGAGAGTGACTCTGAGCCTGAGCAGATCATGTTTTCTGCTCAGCCTGGTAGTATCAAGCGTAAGGCTGATAATGTTGGGGATTTTGTTGATGAGACTGCATCTGAGGCCACTGATGATTCTAGCTTTTCGGCTGATGATTCACAAGCAAGCCTCTTGCCCAAGGTTACATCAATTCCAGCCATTGAGAAGGGCCATGTTTCTCGCAAAACTACATCAGTACATGTATTTTTTTCATCTTGTGTGATGAACTGATTCACCATGTGTATCTCAGACATCTACTGTTGTATCTCAGGGTGCTACCCCTCCACCATCCAAAAAGTTGAAGAAAGAAAGCTTTGAGGTTACCAACTGCAGTGATCTTGTGCCTCTGCCCTCAACCCAAGTTCCAGCGGGTTATTACGACAATGACATACCTCCTCCCAACACCCAAGTCCCTCCGGCCTCACAGAAGGCTACTGTTACAATAACATTTACTCTGCTTATTCATCATCGCCGGATACGGCTATCTCACCTCTCCCAATTCCGACATCTAGAGCGTAGCTCTACAGATCCTCATCTCATGGCCGCCGCATCTGGAACCGGCCTAGACTTGCATCTAGAGGCATCTTGCCTCGTGTTTGATTATCATTGTGCACAGCACGATTCTCTTCTATTCTTTGATTGTATCTTGGACACCATCATGCGCAGCATGATTCCTTTATCTTCTATTGATTATCTTGATTGTTGCATCGTTACTATCAACATGCCAGAGCATGAACACTTACTTACTTAGATGCCTATCTCTGACTCATACTTATGGAAACCCGTCCTTGATAGATAGGCTTGCCCTGAACTACTCTTAGGATACATATAAATACCTTACATGTACCTAGATAGTTCTGCACTTTAATCTACTTGGTCTTACCTTGAAACCTGGTTCACTCTGAACACAGCTAGGTACCTTCGGGTACTTAGTTCCCCTTTTGGTGTATACACTAGTAATCCTCTCTAGTGTATAACCAAACTCTGAACCATTGTCGCCTAGACGGTTTACTGCCAACCTGCTTCCTTGACAGAAGAGGCTCCGCCAGTCGACTGTGGGACTAGTCTCGTTATCAGGCTAGCAGACGCGAAGCTCTCTACTTAGACATCCCTCATTATCAGGGATTAAAGAGGAGATCTATCCAAGTCATAACAGCTACTGCAAATTATATAGGACTTTTCTATATAGGTTGGGGTTATGAAGGGGTTATTTTAGGTCTTTTCATAATATATGCCTCCAATGGAACTGGTTTCATTGGAGGGACTAGGTATATTCGTATATCAACTAGTTGGCATGCCTCCAATGGAACTGGTTCCATTGGAGGGAGTAGGTATATTCATACATCAACTAGTTGGTATGCCTCCAATGGAACTGGTTCTATTGGAGGGACTAGGTATATTCATACATCAACTAGTTGGTATGCCTCCAATGGAACTGGTTCCATTGGAGGGAGTAGTTATATTTGTATATCAACTAGTTGGCATGCCTCCAATGGAACTGGTTCCATTGGAGGGAGTAGGTATATTCGTATATCAACTAGTTGTATGCCTCCAATGGAACTGGTTCCATTGGAGGGACTAGGTATATTCATACATCAACTAGTTGGCATGCCTCCAATGGAACTGGTTCCATTGGAGGGACTAGGTATATTCATAAATCAACTATTTGCATGCCTCCAATGAAACTGGTTCCATTGGAGGGAGTAGGTATATTCATAAATCAACTATTTGCATGCCTCCAATGGAACTGGTTCCATTGGAGGGAGTAGGTATATTCATAAGTTAGAGGTTGTGTGGTATCTACATACCTCAAATATACCTAACTGCCTCCAATAAAACCAGTTCCATTGGAGGTATGCAATGCAATTAGTTGATATATGAATAAACCTACTCCCTCCAATGGAATCAGTTCCATTGGAGGCATACCAACTAGTTGATATATGAATATACCTAGTCCCTCCAATGGAACTGGTTCCATTGGAGGCATACCAACTAGTTGATATACGAATATACCTACTCCCTCCAATGGAACCAGTTCCATTGGAGGCATACCAACTAGTTGATATACGAATATACCTAGTCCCTCCAATAGAACCAGTTCCATTGGAGGCATGCCAACTAGTTGATATACAAATATAACTACTCCCTCCAATGGAACCAGTTCCATTGGAGGCATACCAACTAGTTGATGTATGAATATACCTAGTCCCTCCAATAGAACCAGTTCCATTGGAGGCATGCCAACTAGTTGATATACGAATATACCTAGTCCCTCACTTCCTGCAATACCAACACACTCTTCCTCGACCACCCAGGAACAAGATCATCAAAAATAACAAAAATTAATAAAAACCGGGCTGACCCATGCATGAACATCTGGCGAGGAAGTATGTTGAGGAAATGCTGTTAAACAGCTGCTACTCTGCTTTGGCTTCCGCCGACACCTATTCACAAATCTAAAGTTGCTGGCGACACTGTCTACTAATTGTGGCGGTGCTTATGCTGTTACCTTTTCTGCATCAAACACCAGCTCAGCAAACTGGATTTTGCCGATTTCATAAAAGGGTGGGTAGGTCAAGACAATGAGCAGTACGCATGCCTCCTTACATCGATCCTCATGTCATCAATGTGGTATTTTATGTAACTGGGTTGCCGCCAGACATATAAGTACAATGACTAGTATGTTATATGGAAGCTATGATTCATATTCCTCCTGACTGGGCCTTGGCCACAACCCATATTGCTAGTGAATATGTCTCTCGCCAGTTCCTAGCACTGATCGGTGGACGGCCCAATGCTATTCCCCCACTCAAACTAGATTTTGTCATGCTCATGGCATGCTCAAAACTGGCTAGTACCCTCGCCGATGCCTATCGGAACCCTGGTATGACTCTTTTGGCAGCGCCTTATGTGATCTTTAATCTCATCAATATTAGTCACTATCAATTTAGATGTAGTCAGGTATGCAGATGTTCTGCACATGATGGAAAAAGGCATCAACCCTGCTCACGAAGACAGGCTTCTTGCCCGGATGTTCATGATTTTGTGGATATCCCACAAGCAGGCTACTCCAGGTACTGCTCCATGGTCAATACTTTGTAGAAGTAGTATGGAAATTGAATTCTGCTTAATAGAACCGGCACTTCACTGAAGGCTATGTGCAGAGCTGGCCAGGGCAGGCACCACCAAAATAAATGGACATGGCAGGCACTGCCGCAATGAATGGGAGAAGATTAGCAGGTGTTTCACTTCACTTCTACAACACCCCTCACCAGGTGATTCCTCACCAGATATTCTTATATGTAGGCTTTGGTAACTGATCACTGTATTGTGTAATCAGAGAAAAGGGGAAATTACAAGTATTCAGGTATCTACATTTCTTCACCAGGCTGTGCCTCTGCCTGGTCAACTTCATCCAACAAGGATTCCACCACAGGAAGAACCCTCTCATGAACCTGTGCAAGGTGATGCAGGCTAATTAGATCTTTGAAGATCCTTGTTAACACGTCTCTGCTTTCACAGAACGCCATGAGCATCATCCTATTGCTCTCCAACACTTCATCCGGCTTGGGATCCCAGACATCATCTCCTGGGCCCAAGGCGCTGCCAACCATCATCTGTGCCAGATGATCAACTAAGAGATATTAGCATGTGCCATGCTGTGTCAATGAAATACACTTACATTCTTCCCCACAAAGGCGATTCAGAACATCTATTGCTGCACGCTCGGCGTCACCGACCAAAGATTTCAGTGTGGGCCAGTCCAGATGCCCGCTGGTGTGGGGCAATACAAGAGATATGGATGGTCCTGGTGCTGCATCTGGGATTGCAGGCAGCGATCCAACACACAGCAAGGCAACATATGGTGAAGGTTGCGGTACACGAATGAGCTCTGATTGCCACTCCCCAATGGGGGAGGGAGGCTCACATTCAAACCGGAATGCTGTACAAGATGGTCAATACTAACTAAAAGGAGATTATGTTACTTACATCTATTATTGATATCATAACCAACATGCCTTGTATCTTCCTGGGCCGGCACCAGTCCTTGTGGTCGGCGGGGTGACTGCCATTGGGACATTGAAGCCAAGGTTGAATGGCTTTGTTGTTGGCGGTGACGGAGCTAGTGCCGGGGTACCCATGGACTGCACCAGAAGATTGAAGCCCAGATTGAATGGCTTGGGGGCTGGCTGTGCGGATAGAGGCAGGGCGAACCCCAAGTTAAATGGTTTCGGGGTGGGGAGCGCCGGGGATGAGGGCGGTATGGCGGCAGGAATGCTCAAGTTCATGCCAAAGTTGAACCATGGTGTAGGAGGTGCTGCAGATGGAGCTGCGCCAATATCAAGATCCATGCCAAAGTTAAATCTTGGCGCCATCGGTGGCTGTGCAATAGGCAGAGACATGCTGAAATTGAAACCTGAGGGTGTCAGGATGGTGCATTGCTGAAGTTGGGAAGATCAACTCACGTGGGCCACCGACATTCACCAGCATTCCAGCTTCACTGCTATAGGAAGATTCGTCCATTTCCATGGGTGATTCAAATTGTACTTTTGCTTGGTATGGGCGATTGGAAGGATGGGACATGTGATGTTTGACAAGAATGGAGAATTGGAGGGCTTTATCCAACTGATTATATATCTGATCTGGTTGTGGATCGCAGAAGTTGAAATTGTGGCACCTGAACAATGGATTGACTAACTGGCAACCCCCGGACCACGTGATTCTCAAACATGCTTGCTGTGTGTTCGGTGCTAAGAAGCGACTGACTTCAAATTTTGTATAGATATATATTATCAATGCCGTTCTCTCCCATCTTGCAATTATTTTCCACACCATGCCCACCGCTGAATTTTCTAACACTGCCATGGGCGATGCTGCAGAGCAGATTATGAAAGTTGTACAGAAGGCGGCAAAGCTGAGGGATGGTCATCCCGATTACCTCAAGCTGGCTGTGGAAATTGGATATCTGATGGTCAGTGTTCTTTTAATAGCAATGTAGGGTCATGTGTTGACTACAAGTAGTCTACGGTATTTGCCACCCATGGTATGTCTGCAACGACCATCCCGCTGATTGTCCTTTCAGCAGCCATGGAGATGCTGGAGCACCTGGATTCGGCGAAACAATCATTTGCCAGTGCACCTGTATGGGCCAAGATCCAAACTGATGATCCCCAAATCCAACAACATCCTTTGAGGGAGAAGGCACAAAGCATTACCGCTACCAGGCCGCAACCTAATGTGGTGGTGAAAGCAGCCACCGGCATTGCCGGTATGGCGGCCACGGTGAAGGTGAAGCCTAGGCCGAAGCCAGCAAAGCCAATGCCAAAGAAGACAAAAGTGGCGCATGGGTCCCATGAGTCTCAGGCAAATGACGCAGGCCATACTCAAGGGAAGTCACCGCCGGCATATACCTCCTCCCAGAAAGGCAACTTCCTTTGCATGTCTTGCCACTGCTGCAGAGGTGGTGGAAGATTGTATGATCTGACTGGTAAAAAGGTGGCGGCGGGTCAGCACCACATCATTGATTTAGGCAAGCACAAACCAATGCCGGAGGTGGTTGTTCTCTGTCCTTATTGCACATCACTACTTGCTCTCCATCATGAGAGAAAGACTGATCGTCCTCCCCTTCATCCAAGCTTTCCTCAAGGACAGCATGGGCCTTGCTGCGGCAACTGATCCAGTGGATGACTTGCTGATGACTCTTCACTGGCGGCACCCTGTGATGGTCGGATATTACTGCTTCTTCCCCATCATCAGATGATGGATACTCCTCCCTCTCATCCAAGCTTTTCTTACTCTCCAGTAAGTGTTTTGAGGCTTCCATGGCCTTTGGGGCATTATGAGCCTTGTTGTGGCGGCCGCTCAACTGGCGAATGACTTTCTGATAAGACTTGGCTGGCGGCTCCATATCGCCATCAGTATCTTTCCAAGCTTTGAAACAGAAGGTGGGACAAAGCTTCTTTTGCTGCTGACCATACCAGAAATTTAACAGAGTAGTAGCACTGGCTTTGTCCATCTTGGACGGTTCCACAACCTGTATGTCTGCCGGCCAGTAGGTGCCATTGAAGAAATCTGATTGATTCTTGATCAAATCACTCCAGGGCACTGCCGCCTTGACTTTCTCTGTTCCCATGCACATCCCTGTGAAACCTTTAGAATGGTCAATGTTAGGAATGGGATTTCCACCTACTGTAATGCCTGGTCAAGAATGACCGAATGACATGCTGCTTTTCGCCCCGTTTCAAACCCATAGTTTCAGGGAGCATAGGCAACCCATCATTGTCTTCCTCAAGGTCAAGGAGCTTACGAGGCACTCATTTCTTGGATGTGACGACCTGTGGAACATTATCATCTTGGACATCTGATAATTGCTCATTGTTAGGACAACAATGAGGACCAGAAGCAGGGCATCTCACCAAATTGTTCCCCAGCATATTGCTGCTATTCCGGCATAAATATCTCATCCCACTTCCTTGTCTTCATGAAGCTTTCGGCGCCGCCAAATTGATCATTGTGGTCATGTCTATGATCAGACATTAGACCTTCGGTCAACAAGAGTCCAAGATGACACTCATGCTCCTAACATCAGTTTGCCTTTGCTGTCCTGCCATGCTAACATCACAAAGACCCTCATCCTGGCCTGTTTGAACATTTCAGTTGCAAAATGCTCTATCATATCAGCACCTTTGGTTTCGCTCAGATTGTCCTGGACTTCAGGAGGAGCAGCTTCATTGTTCCACTTATCTGCAAGAACATTTGCCTCAGCCTTCTCCTCAGTCGACAGACTAGCGAGCACAGTCTTGGTAGCCTCTGGCCACTTGGCAATCATGGCCTCACTCACAGGCATCTCTCCAGTCTCCTCTTGGATACGAGCCTTGTTTTACTCAATTAAAACTTGGTGAACTGTCCATTTCTTGTCATATTTAATGAGAGGCTTTGGGGCTTTCCGATGACATTGGTTGTACAACCACTCCTTGTATGTCTATTGTAATAAATGAATAGCCAGCAAACAGATAGATCATACATTATTTCATACCTTTTTTCGAGCTTTCAATAAGGCTTTGTCCCAAGTGGGAGCTTGAAGGCAGGCTTCCTTGTGTATAGCCTTCAAAATGTGGTACCGTTGTTTACCTTTGACAGACCTCCAGTCCTCTAGGTGGGCCTGGAGGACTGCAATTTCTGCCTTGATCAGAGGGAGCTTGGTCTGCTGGGGCATGATGACAGGAGATTTACTCCTGGCCATGTTACAATGAAATGGATGGTCAGAGAGTTGAAAATTGTCAGTCCTAGACCCTTACTCGGCTCTTTCAGTGCCTTCATGTTATGTACATCTAGCTACGTGATCCACCTGCATACAGACCTGTATTTGTTCTTCTTGTGCAGCATATGATTGAAGTTTTCATAAAGTTTTTAAGCAACACATTACATTAGCTGGGCACCAGAGTAGGATAATCCTGGATGGAGGAGCTAGCATGAACAAGCACTGGGTAGTTTTTACTGGCATGTTTCATATTGTATACTATATATGTTACAATGCATCAATTTCCATAATGTCCAGCTAAAGTTGTTGGTGTTTGTCTTAATCTAGTAGTGAACAAATCCCTAGCTTCAATCATACTCATCTTCAAAATCATGAGGTCCTTGGTAACTTTTTTCTGGACAACCTGGAATGTGGGACTTCATCAATGAATTATTATAATGAGCTCAGGAGGATGACCACATCTGTCTTTCTTCATCTTGTGCTGGTGAGACCATTCATTGTTTGGCGGCGGTGTGTTGATATTTTGGCAGGACCAGTTACCGGGAGTTAATGAGGGTGGCTAGGCAGTGGCGGCAGCTCAAGCTATTGAAATGGAATGGTTTCGGCCATGAGTCCAAAGATAAGAAACCTGGAGATCTTGCTCTTTTCTGTCCAGCATGTCCCCAGCCAGGCATCAATGTCACATTGCCCCCTGAGGACTAGCAAGATGAAACCAACTCTAAATCTGACCTCCCAAAGCCTAGTTGGCTCTATTCCAGATTCCTGGTCATGGATGGCAACTTCAAAGCGGAGCACCTGTACGCGGCGAATCCCATGGATGAAGTCGCCCTCATGGATGGTTGTGCCTTCATAGTTAGCGATGGAACCTACAAGGCGCATCTCACACAGGCAAAGGATGCCATTCAACAGTCCGAATGCAACAATAATTGTGTTGTAAATCAAGCAAATGCCTCCCGGCACAGACTAGAAGCAACTGGGATCGGTGGTTGTGCATGTGCAAGGCATGGTTGCTTTGTTCCACATGCAATGGTCGATTTTCAGAAGGGAGAAAGGTATGCACATTGACCTTGCCATTGAGACACTGGCAAACAAAGACCAGGCACATGAACATGGACTATGCTTTGTGCGAGGCATTGAAACACAATGCCAGCAGCATTCGGCGTGCACTAACATTCTATGATGTTAACTGCCAGTATCACAAGTATCTCAGAGATCGGGTATCTGACAGCCCATTCTTAGAGCTTGACAAAGCACTGGAAATTGTGCCGGAGATAGGTCTCTGGCATGTGCATGGCCACCAAGATACCTGCTATGTATGATATGCCTCCAACTTTATCACCGGCGCCGCACAAATTGACGGCGAGATCATGGAGACATTGTGGGCTCCATTGAATATCATCTCTTCTTTGGCGAGGGGAATGGGCACACCTCACCAGAAGGAATGCCTGGACTATCAAATGAATGATTGCAATTTCATGAAGATAATCAGGATGAGTGGGTGTCTTATGTCTGGCAATCATAATGGACTCACTGACAAAGTGCAGGCAAGACCCTTTGCCGAAAATTCAGGCAAGCCTTGAAAGGAGTTGCTGAGACACCACCACATTCCAGAAGCTCAATGAGAGCACTGATGCGGCAAAAGTGACACAGTGGGAAGACCAGGACAGACATGCACAGCAAAGCCGCATTGTCAATCCAAAGGCTATGGACATATATGAGGTCCAACTACAAAGAGGTATACAGCAATATTTACTATTTACTTATTTTCATAACACTGACTGCCAGCTAGCACCAACACGAAAGGAACAAGAACTGTAGTTGTTAGTAGCTAATGGTCGGCGTCCTGGGGCGGCATCCCACCGAAAGCCAGCAGTTGGATATTGCTCGCCGATGGGAGAGACTCCAGGGAGAAATTAATCGGTGGTTGGCACAGTGTCTCAGGTTCCTTGGTGATGGGATAGGGGATGGCAATATCCAGGTGATGGAGGATGAGCTGTTCATGCTTGAGGAAGAAGAAATTGATGAGACGGCAGATAAATTCAGATTATTCGAGCCCAAAAAGACCGTCCTACCCATGCCATCGATCCTTGGCCCAGCACGGTGCTCTGAACTTGGTGCCGCAGATATGATTCATCAAGAACTGGCACTTTGGGAGGGACAGGAAAATGATGCCCTGCACAATATCAGAGTGCATCTGGCAGACTAAGTGGTTATCTTCCATACCACCATCAGAATGGCGAAGTCCCAAGCCATGTCTACCAGAGCTTGGGCTCAAGTGCATTCAGTTGACAGGGCAGTGAGTATCAATGCAAGCATTTACTCAAAGTGCTGGACACATCTGGCTAACCTCAGCGCTGCCGATGAATTATTGGAGAGATATCGCCCACTGCTAAAGGAGCATCTGAAGGTTATCACAGTAGTAGCTGATCCAAATGCAAGAGGACAGAGAAATAAGACATTGGCCTGGTTCTGGTCAATGGATGTGGAGGGGGATTCTGGTAACAGTAATTGGCTTAATGAATGTGAGTTAATTGTGCAGTTGGAATGCACAGTGCTGACATTATACAAAGTTTACCGTGTACATTGGCTTCGTGCCAAGGCATTAAAAGACTGGTAGGAGGAAGAGCACCTCCTAGTGCAGCATGAGATGAATTGGACATGTGATTTCATTATGCATAAATCAGAGGAGTGGAGACGGTTGGGTGACCTCACCAAGGACAAAGTTGGACACCAAGTGTATGCGGCACAGCAGTGCAAAATGTATAAACATTTGTATCAGGATGCCATGGATGCATTCAACAAATCAAAAGATCCTACCAACATAAAGGCAATGTTATCCAAGGTAGAATAGCTGTAGAATAGTTATTACTGTATGATCTTGTACTATACAATCACACTGTCATCACCGGCACAATGTGTACCGCCGCACCCTTGGTAGCACTGGATAGTAAGTCTGGTGCTGGCTTTCTAATTACTACAATACATGGTAATTGGGGGCACTTTATAGGGCTTACTCTCCCTCCTTCTTCAAGCATTTTACCAGCCGCTGTCTTAATAACAGAGGGTCTTATATAAAGTCGTGTAAATGTAATGACACCACAATTACACTTTGGATAAGACTGCTTGCCAGTCCTCGATTAACACGGTCTATGACTTTTCCTATTTCGTGGTAGATAACGTGTGAGTTCTTGGGAGGCTCGCTAAACTAATCTTTTTATAAAGATCAACCTAGCCGGAGCTTTACTTTTCTTTATTGAAACTCAAATCTCTTGTCTAGGAATAAGCTTCTAGACACGTAATTTGGTTTCTGGAATGTATTTGCCTAGGAAATCTCCTTCTAGGCTCTGGACTTGGATACTGGAACTAGTGAGACATGGTCTCAAATATACGAAATATGACCAAGATCGCTTGGTCTATGGACACCTGACTGTGAGACAATGGCCTCAAATATACGATATATGTTCAAGATCGCTTGAACAAAGGGGACTATAACTTGACCAAGATCGCTTGGTCTATGAGACTACTAGTGAGACGTGGTCTCAACAATATGATAGATGACTAAGATTGCTTAGTCAAAGGGCACAGAGCAATGAGACAAAGGGGTCTCAAAGACAATATATATGACCAAGAACGCTTGGTCTATGGCACTAATAAGTTTCTAAGGTAAGAAACTTATAATCTCAAGGGAATTCTTTTCCCTGCACTTGTCTCACTTCAAAGGGACTAACTTTGCAAGTGAAATATCTGAGAGGCAGATTGCTACAAATGGGAGATCATATTTTTTTGGGGGAGAATGGGCTCTCCTTATATACATTTTGTGTGGGAAAGTAACCTAGGTTCACAAACAATAAAAAATAAGGAGGACCAATCAAAATATTGGGTCAAACCCAATAAAAGAATAAAATACAAGTGAAAGATGGAGCTATGACATCATTGTGGAGCAGAACATTCTGGAATGTGGAGTAATGACATCATAATGACATCAAGCGTGACATCATTGTGGAGCAAAAGATTCCAGAACCTTCCATGAGTGAGTCAGAGTGAGTCATTGTGGAGCAGAATATTCTAGAAGGAAATGACATCATGGATGATGTCATTGTGGAGTAGAATAATCTAGAGCTTGATGACATAATATCTTTCAACAGAATACCTGCAGGAGTATCTGTGGAGTCTTATGACATCATAATGACATCATACCCTATGGGTACAATTTTATGAAGTGTCAGGTGAGTCAAAGCATCCTAATGAAAAAGTAAAGTAAAGAAACACTAGAGAAAAGTAGGTAGCAAAAAATAAGACAGTTGGCAGGAATTGAAACGCAGTCAAAATAATACAGTTGGCAGGAATTGAAACACGGTCTTTTTGGATAGGTTTTTTTATAGGCTTTGTACTTTTCTCTATGGTTTTCTCTAGCCAAAGTGAATAAGCCAAAGGCAAGGCTATACCTTAACCTTCATTTCCCTTCTCACATCAACTAGGTCTGAATGTGATTCCCATCTCACATTAGACTTTTTCCGTCAAAACATATTTAGATCATGAAACTTGGGGAAAACTGGAAATATGGACCATGGTTTGAAACCAAGGTATGGGTTGACTAGTCTGAGGACTAAGCTAACAGACTTTATCTTTTGAGGGTCACCTAGTATTCATGTCCATGCATGATTCCCACATCATGCAGGACACCGCTCTGTTGCGGCGATGGCAGCGCGTACATCCTGACCCAATGCAGTCTCCATCCTCATCAATGATGCCGCAACCAGCCGCGCCTCAACAACCTTATTTTCTAACAGTGCCACTATGTGCTCCCCTTCTTGTCTCATGCCAGCCTGGATGTTGGCCAACTGCTGTGCGACCGGTGTTGACCTTGAATCCACCAATGTTGCCGGTGTCACAAGCAACTGGCCCTCTGGCTGCATTGAAATTGTGAGATTTTCTAAGGATGAGCAGAAACAAAA